GGGAAAAAAAAACTTTTAATCTGTCCGCGTATTACACAAAACTTTTGTAGGCCCCCCCACCACCTGAACGCGATGAATTCAATTGCCTTGAGTTTTATTTAGAAACAAATGGTGGCAGACTTTTCTGCGTTTCTTTCGCTGTTTTAAATGACATGAATTAAGATAACAAATTCGCGGAACACAGAAAACAGCAAGCCCAACCGAACCGAACCAAAGAAAATAAGAAGAAAAACAGGGGAAAATGCTGTGAAACTTTTTTCCACCGAGACAAAAGAACGTCAGGAAATTGTAGCAGAGCGTAAATAGAAAAGCCGGCAGCAACAACAATTGCTAATACTTAAGCCAAAGTCGGACGTTCTCAAAGTCAGGAAGCTTTCCAGGGGGAGCCTGACTTTGCCCTGAAAAAGTCTAATAAATTAACCAATTTACATGAATTGTCGTTTGCTGTGCAGCGGCAGCATCAGCATCAGCCGCTTCCTTATTTTCCCTATTTTCTATACTCTTCCCTTTTTTCCCGCCCCGCAAGACAACTCATTTGTGTGTCATGGGATTTGTCACGGGGATGAGGTGGAAAAACTTTGCCACTCGCTGACAATGATTCAAAAGACAGGTAACCAGGGTAAAGCCCGGCAATTTGTTTAATTTCATTACATTTCAGGACGCCAGTTGATGTTGTTTTGCAGCATGCGCTTATCTCTGCACATTTGCAACTTTTTCCGGTCCCATTTTCATTTCAACTTCCCCTTCGACTTGTTGTTTTTATTTGGAAATGAAATTTATGTGCATATTTTGGCCATTTTGACTTTGAGTTGTTTTTCTTGTTGCATGCTGTATAAATGTCAACTTGAGTGCCACGGGCAGTAAGCATATGTATGTATGCCCCTTCTATCTCTAAATGTATTTATTTTTGTTTCTTTGTATCTAAAAGTTTTCTATGCCCCCACAGATAACTGGCAACAGTTCAAAGTTTCCCATTTTTTGTGTTTATTTGTTGTGGCAAGGGTGGCGGAAAAGTTTTTCTGGGAGGGCGGCTTAGGGCTAATTTTTCGCTTAAAGTCAACATGTGGCAGAGAAACCTAATCAAACTATTGATTGTTTGACTGATTGTGGCAGCAGCTGGCAATGTTTTTATTGCGAAAGCGACAGGTAAAAGTTACCAGCGAAGGGAGAACTTTCCTTCATCTTGGCTTTAACTTTTTGGGAAAAGTTTTTACGCTTTCCCTTTTGGCGCCACAGGAAATTGATTTCTGATGGTCCCAAACTCTTTTCACGAAATGGAGCCATCACATCACTTTGTACGGCTCTTTGTCTCCAGTCGGATTCGATTTCGCCGGGGGACAGACACACCGGTTAGGTGTTATAACCCCTTTGACATGCGTAAATATTTTCCCTGCACTCTGCTTTTCCCATTTTCCGCATGCTCTTTATTGATTTTGCATAAGCAGCAGAGCGAAGCAGGGTGGGAAATTGAATCTCACATAAAACGCTGCAAGTACTTTGCATATCAAATCAAGTCTTGTATTCGAGCTGTGGAGTTGTGGGCTCATCTGCCAAGGGAAAGATGCTTTGGCAACCGAGCATCTTGTTTTTATTAAGAGCACTGAGTTCTAGCCTGGTCAGGACCAAAGGCAAAGTTTTACCGGCCTCAACTTGCACTCTGGCACTTAATCAACAACGAAACTAAATGCGGTCGGTGGTCTCTGGTTGAGAAGTGCTCATTCTCATCCTCATGACAAATGTGTAAATACCTACTGACCAGTGTATTCCAGGGTGGCCGTGGGCAAATGCAAATGCTGTTAAAAACATTTCACCAATTGGATAAAGTTTTACTTTGCCCAAAATTACTCAAGCACCTGCTACTCGATTTGCAGTGAGATAAAAATAGAGTATGTACAAAAGAAAACCACCGAACAAAAGAAAATTAAGATTAAAATGGGATAATAATTTGGTAGTCGACAAAACAGCTATTAAAGAACTATATGTTATCCTATTAAGATCCCTAAAAAATCATAATAATTTCAGAAAGACTTTATTAAAGAACTTCCCTAAAAAATCATAATAATTTCAGAAAGACTTTATTAAAGAACTTCTACAACAATTGTGTTTACATACCCAATTAAAAACATGACATTTGACGTTAGGTACTCACAACTTAAAAAAGTATTGTAAACAGTAACAAGAATTTGGTTGCAAAAAATTAGGAATGCCTTTCAGTAAATAAATAATTTGGTTACAGTTTTTTTTTGTAACAAAGCAACTTATGGTTTATATGTAAAAGAGTTCCATTTTTTAACTGTGTACACCTATGGGTTCACTTTCTTTTACACAGGAAGTACCGAAAATGTGCTATGCTCGCTGCAAAATTATTTTTTTAATGCCCAGAGAAACATACATTTTGTCACTTGCTGTGGGTAAAATGGCATTTTTGCGCTTATTTAAGCCATTGCATAAATTTCAACTGAAAATGAATGCCAAACCACACGCGCGTGTGTTGGTGTGTATGCAAATTTACTCTGCGGCTGAGGGGGAAATCGGGGGCTTCTGCGAAGTGGGTCCTGCTCCTGGGGCAAGTGCAGGAGCCAAGACCGGAGCCTAATGTGTGCTGGCCTTTAGCAACCAGACAGACGTGTTTCAGACATTTAGCATATAGCCCCACACACACACATGCCGAGAAAGTACACCGACGCATGCCCACACACACACACACACACAATGGGCACGCTTCAATGTCAAAGTTGTCCAAAGAATGTGTGCGAAAATATTTTGCGAAATAAGGCGCGAATGAAAAATTTATAAAATATTCAAATAAGCACTTCACATTTTAGCACCACGATAAGGAAACACTCGAACATACCGTCCTGCCCTCATAAAAAATATCTGTGGCTGTCGCTGAAAATTATACAAATATGCAAAATTTTAATAAAATTAAACGAAAAGCTGGGAGTATTTTTTAAGGATAGAGGGGAACGTCACAACGTCGTAGTCAAACTTTTTTAATGTAAAACCAAAGCTCTCAAACTTGAGCGATAAAGGCAAAAACGTTTCATTCGACCAAAATAAAATGATAAAAAAAATAACGAAGCAACAAGAGGAGGAAAAACTATTTAAGTTTTAAGCGTTTGACGCTTTACAACCGCAAAATGTCGACACAAAGTTTCACACGCATCCCGTCGTCCCTTTTTCCCCGGGAAATGAGCAAAATGCCAAGCTGAACAACGGCATCACTTCATTGCCATGTTAACCCAAAGCCATAAAGTCAAGGATAAAATGCAAAAGTGCCGAAGTTTTAATTTAAATTTGAGCAGCTACGCGAGCAGCGTAGATAAAAAATATGATCTCGCAAAAATAATACAGAGCAGGAAACTTTTGTCAGGCCAACGCAGAATGTACGACTTGGTGACTCTCTTTTTCTACACTTGTTCCCCAAGTTGCCAATAATTCAGCGCGTTTCCAGATACGCAAATTGAAGTTGCTGGGCCAGCTGACAGTGCACGGAGAATAAAGAGTTATTTGAATGATTTTCTTTAAATTATTTTTAAGTTATAATGAAATCCAGATAACATTTACATATGTAAACATAATTGTGGTGTCCTCTTTATTATGTAAATTAGTTACAAACCAGCAAGGCAGTAAGCGAAACTAAATTAATTTTTAATTCCCCAATCAACTTGCAAAAACAACAATTATTTCAAATTATTTACTTAATTTTTCCTCTTAATTTAAGTACTAAACTTAAAAAACCAACTGATATTTCTTTCTGTGTGGCAAGAAGCTTTGGGAAAGAAAGTAAAGAAAGCGCCGGGCAAAAGAGTTACGATTCCTTTGAGTAAACCACTTTCTGCGGCTACCCAGCAAGCCAGCCGCTGTCGCTTTCGAGCTGCGCTTAGTGTTATCTGCATAACTCATACGCACTGTGGCCGCCAAGTTTATTCGAGAACAGGGAACAGCGCGAACAGCCAGAAGCTGCAGAAATTTGCAACACATGGCGCAATCCTGATACCCACACACTCGCCTACATAGACACATGGTGCGCTTAAAGCCAACGTAAATATGTCCAGACTTTCCACCTTCACCTCGGCATTTTTTCATCCTCCTAACAACGTTTTCCCCCGCGCGACTGGCTTATCGACTTGGGTTCCTGGCAGCTAGGTAAACTACACTACGTACGACTCGGGTATTATCTATGCATGAGTGTTTTTAATTTCTTCCCGACCACCTAACAAATTTTTCAACTGATGCTCTGATTAAGCGGCAGCTTCAAAGCTGCTTACTCCAAAGAAGACAGATATAATTTGTAATCTTAGTTGTTCTTAAAAAAACCTAACGAATCTTTGCACTTAAGTTATTAATAACAAAGCAGTAGTAACTTTTAATCACACTAATGCGTAAAAATTTGGATGAAAGTTTTTAAACTACGATTTTCTGCTGTTATTAGTTTGTCAGTAATTTAAGTAAGACGTTCTCAAAAATTTGTATAATACGGTTAGCAAGTTTCTTTACCTTTTATTTGGATAAAAGTTAATAAAGAAGCGTGCAGTTAATTAACCAAGTATGCAGAACATTTCCCTGCATAATCAAAGCAGATCTCCCTTATTTCCATCAATTTGACCCATCTGTAGTTTACCCCTTTTGGAAGCTAACCTCAGCTGTCGCCATCCATCAAACGCCAACAGATCCTTGACCACCAAAGAGTTCCTCGCCCATCCAATGCTATCCATTTCGTGTGGCTGTAGCTCACTCATCTCATTCACGCCCCCACAATGAAAGGAGTCTCTTTGAAGAAGGAGCGAAACAACAAGGCGTTTGCTCCTTCTGTTTTCCCACACCATTTTCACGCCAGTTTCCATGACGCACTGAGCGAGTTTTCCCGCAATGAATGGCTGAATGACAGGCAAAATGAATGGCAATGTCGGGTATGTCCGAGTACTGGAGGGGGTAATGGGTATCGTGCTGTAGTGGTATATCAAACACAAGACCATCCGTGTGACTAATGCAGAAGAATGGAATTGACAAGCAGCGTGCTCCAACAGCCAAAGACAATGGGCAATAAAGCCGTAAGGGTCAATACAGCAATTGCTGGACGATGTGCAACAGGGAAGCGAGTTTGGCCTTTTTTTAAGAAAGAACTTTCTTTCAAATTCCTGAAATAGAGAAGCTAAGGTATAGGCATAGTTTTCTGATTTGTAGCCTCTTTTTAGTCACCGTTCCTGCGCTTAGACTTACCCCTAATCTAACCATAATGTAATGAAAAAAAATTATATTTAATTAAAGTTCGTTATTAGTCATAGTTTTCAGACAAATTGTCTTTCCTTTCCTTAATTTTCTATACATTCATATAAATCTTTTTTAAAAAGCTGTAAAGCTTTCATGAAAAGTATAATTTATTTATAATTATGTATATTATTATATTCTTGTTTGAACAGAATTAAATCTGGGCAACTGAGGAATATGCTGGCCTGCTTCCCGAAACCACTAAAATATCACTCGTAAAATATCACCTCATAAAGGTGAATTTCCACATAATTTAATTTGTCATCGAAGAAAAGTTTTTGGTCAGAGTGCTTGCAACACTCGACAAAGAATGTCTGGGTCTCAGCAGACAGGTAAACAACGTGTTCTGTGAATTTTCATTAGCCAAGCAGGAATAACAAATTTCAGATGAAAAAACAACGGATTGTGATCCCCCGACAGACAGGAATTATAAAGGAGTCTAAAAAAAAAATGGAAAACATTGAGATTTAGACGACGTGTGGTTGTCATTGGAATTGCGTCCTCGATTTTGACAGAGATTGGATGTGTGGCAAATGAAAGTTTCACTGCTGATTGAGTCAATGATGATGCCATTAAAAGTCGCAAATTGATGTTTTTGTTTCAAATGTGTGTATTTGCCTTCATCTGTGTTTGTGCTGGCTTGTATTCGTGTGTGTGCCAATTACAAGCGTTAGACGCTGTTATTCGCATTCTAACAACGGAAACAGCCAGAGATTTATTTTTGATATTTCCGCTTTGGTGGAGCAGCAGCAGCAGCAAAACATCAGGGAGTAACTTTTTCGATAAAAATGTAAATTTATTGGATATGTGTGACAAACACGCTACAGTATAGTACACTAAAAAAAAAAGCATTTTTAGAAATATTTAGAGTGTTTGACCCTTAATCCCTTAATTGGTATACAAGAAAATATCTAAGAAGTAAAATTTATAAAGCCATTCGTTTTAATAATAATTTCATATTTTTTATGGATGGAAAATATATTATTCTAATTTTTCGATCGCATATTAAATAACTTCCTTCTTAACACACTAAAAGTGTTGCATTTTTTATAACTTAATTTGAATTCTAAATTATTTTTTTTTCTGTTCTTCACTTTCTTCTCGGTGTATATGTAGAACACATACATTCATAACCTTCAAATGCGAATGACAATAATGCTTATGTTGTCGTTGATGAAGCAAAAGAAGAAACTTTGTGAAAAGGAGGGGAAAGCTGTGATCTCTGCTCATCACGCACGACTTGAATCATATTTTTATGGTTTTTTATTGACACATTTTGATATGCCAGTTAACAATTCACTCATTTGGCTTTGACTACATCATTTCTAGTTAGTTTGTTGTTATGCCAACTTACTTTTTAGTAGTTTCACATGTATTTTTTTATGTAGCGTTACAAATTATTTATGTACAACCAAAAACTTTCCGTATTACGCAAAAGAATTTATCACATATGAGCACATAATTCCCTTTGTGAGGCGATTTCTTACGGAATAAACTTGCTTGGACAATGTCAAAGAACGTAGGTGGCCTAGACAAAAGGCAAAGAGTATAAAAAACTTGGTTTAATGGCCAAATTAATTTATAACCAGGCATAAAAAGTTTCATACTTTACTGTTCAAAGAGTTAGTTTCGACAATAAATGCATCATTAAATCATACCCTCAGAAAAGTAAACATATAATCAAATATTACGAAAACAAACAAGCAACTAAAATGACCAACCGCCATGGAATTTAATTAATTAATAAATCAGGACACTCGAACATGCAAACAAAAACAAATAGTAATTAATACAAAATAATTATGTATTTAAGCAGCATAATAAATGTTAAAAAAAGGCGCCACAGCGCAAATATTATTTCAGACAGCAGAAGGTAGAAATTAATGACCAGAAAAAACAGCATTAAATAGTAATTGCAATTTAATACGAACAGAATGGTTGAAATGCAGCCGTTGCTGGAATCTCGAATTGCAGTGAAAGAATGCTGAAAGGATTGCGAAACAAGGACGCCAAAGGACGAAATGTCCGCCAAAGACGATGAAAACGTTATCGGGTGGAAAATATTTCCCACCAAAGTCACAGTCGTCGCAAAAGGGACCCAATCACATTCTCTTTAAATGATTGGAGGGATAAAACATATTTTTAAATCAAAGCTGTGGGGGGAAAAAGGGACCTAACCGCTATTAGGCCGTATTGAGTACGGAAAAACGGCGCTGGCGGTGGGAAATCCAAAAAGGTTACAAATAGCCATCATAAAAACTTTATTTGTGCAAAGGATTGAAAACAAGAGTCGACCAGGGGACAAAAGGAGACGACGTCTCATGCATGTTAAAGTCGCACTCTCCCTCAATTCGATTCTACACTGAGCTAAAATATCACAGGATAAAAAGGGTTTCTTTTGTTTAAATGTTGTAAATATATTAGTTAAATATTAGTTAATTTATTTTGTAGGCTAAAAATATTATTTTTACAGCCCCAAAAGTGTTACTAAAAATAATAGTCAATTCCATTTCGTAACCGTAATTTTAAAAAGTTATACGAACTTAACGAAAATTATTTCCGTAACTCGATGATAAGCATTTATAGAAATGCATAGACAGCAAATAAAAAGAAGTTTAACGAAAATTATAAATGGTTTTTAATCCATAATAACATTATATTTAAAAAAAAAAACATAAAACTATATGAAACGATACTGTTGTGATTTTATCGCCGTGTGAATTTATACCATATATTTCCTATTATATGGTCAAATGTTGGTTCTGGGTGGTTAGCTCCTTTGGTGGGTGGTGAAGGTCGACAAGCGTGTTTATTGTTGTTTATGTGCCATGATGCTTTGCCCACAATTTGCAGTCCTCAAACTCCCCTTTGATTTTCGTTATTCGTTTCGGTTCGGTTTGGTTTTCTGTGGGGCTTTGCGATTGCCTTTGTTTGCCGTTGTTAAAAAACATTTATGCGCCATTATCAAAGGCAATGCGACACCCACACACACACGTTGCTTATTGTTGTTCACGAGGTTATAGCATTTGATTATTGCCGGGATTAAGCTATAATTGCGTATCGCATTTCGGTTATTTGTTTTCATTCCACGTCCGAGAATCGGATAATACTGATGGTTGTTTGTGTCGTTGGTAGCGCCAAGGATATCGGAATCATTAGCGGCTGCAATATGTTTTGATGATTCCGGCAAGCTCTTAAGCCCTTGCATTTGCTCCTAGCCCTGTATAATGTATAATCTTGGTTTAGTGGTCGAAAGTGGACCGTCTTAAAGTGGAAAACCCCTGAATTTTGGTTGAACTCAATCAGGAAACCGCACACACACACTTACCCCCAGAGAACCCACACAAAGAAACACACATGTACGTGTGTAGCAGCTGGAATCGGTTTGAAAATTTCAGGCATATTTGGCAACGGGTCATTAAATACGGAAATTGAGTCAACAAAAGCCAAAGACGCCAGGAAAGGAGCAGGAAGGATATATACAAGCCACTAACACACACGCACTTCCACCCACACGTGGCCCATACAGTTGGGGCTATAAAAATAGTGTTGTTTTAGGGATATTCGTGGTTTGAAAATTCTAAAAAATATTATATACAGTCACTAACTTGAATTTTATTAGAGATTACATTTTAAAACTATTATTTTAGGTAAACAATATTGTAAAATTTATGTTGACTTAGTATGATATGAAATACTGTTTGAATGTTCTTAAAAGTTAATATTCCCACATAATAATATTCGAATAGATGTATTGTAAAATTGAGAAATTATGTTTCTAATAACTTATTATTTTGACCGTTGCTGTTCTAAACACACGTGAATAGAGAGTACCGCTCACACACACAAAAAACAACATTTCGGAAGTTTTATTTTTGGTCTGCTTCGGATCGCTGGGAAAAGTCAAGCTACATAAAAGATGCCCCGAATCAGTTACTTGTTTTTGTTGCCCCATACGCCTGGCTTTTGATTATGTAACCCTTGGTTTTTGGGGACCCAAGCCAAGCATAACAGATGCAAGCCCCAAGAATAATTGCCGACAAGAAGGGGAGAAACCTGCCTTCGATTGGCTGCCAATAACAGAGCACAAATTCTTGCCCCGAAAGGACTCGAATATGCGAACGATGTGTTTGCGAGCGATGTATGTATGTTTTCAAGTCAAAGGTTAAGCTTAGCAATGTGTTGATTGTGGGTCAAGCGTGAAAGCGGTCCAAACGTATTCGCCACTACTATATTTAAATTGTTGATTTTGTGTAAACTTTGCACTTAAGGAAAGTCAACATTTATTAGATTAAGAAAGGTTATCAAAAGATTTTCAAGAGATTGGGGTTCAAGTAATGCAACTTAAAAAGACATGGTCTTCTTTTAATTTTCTTTAAATTTGTAGTTAGTTTTTTTCTGGTATCCTTTCCTTAAGTGAATTTTAATATACAGAATATGCAGAATGCATTCCTGACTCACGCTGGATTTATTCTCAGTGTGTTTTCCAGGATAAACTAACAGGTAAAGAGACTTGGCCCAACTAAGGCCCAAAAACTTGCTTGATAAGCAAAGCAGCCTGAACTAGACAACCAGACGCACCAATTATGTTGTACAAGGCAATGAGTGCTGTTTGGAAATGGTGCCAACGTATTACTCACCCACCAACTGAGCTGAGTTCGAGTTATAATTGAAATAATTGCTGGTTATTTGGAACAATAAGCACAGTAGGTGGGCGGAAAACTTTGTTCGGTTGTCGGCGGTTTAGTTTAGTTTGTGGTAGTTTACCCAACCTTCATTTACATCCACATTTCCAATGCGCCCGCTGTTTGCCAACAATTGCTCATTAAATTTTGACCATAACTTATCCGAAAGCAGATAAATGCTGGCAATCTGGTTCAGTAAGTTCGATATCATACTGTTGCCTGTAATTCAACTGAAAACACATTCGAACTGAATAGTACATTAGTTCGTTTGATTCGATCAAACCAATAAGATGTTTTGAGAATTTTTTAGCTATATTACATCAATTTCAGTTTTTTCTCAAGGAAATCCAACTGGATTTTTTTACTTTTGAGACCTTAACCTTTTTTTAATATTTTTATACCCGTTACTCGTAGAGTAAAAGGGTATATTGTATTCGTTTAACACGAAGGAAGCGTTCGACCCATAAAGTATATATATTCTTGATCAGGGTCACTAGCGAGTCGAAACCATGTCCGTCTTCCGTCCTTCTTCTCCGTATAACGCGAGATCTCGGAAACATAAAACAGAAGATGGTATTTGCATGCGATCTAGGAGTTCCTACGCAGCGCAAGTTTGTTTCAAAAGTGCCACGCCCCTTTAACGCCCACAACGCTATATACGATTTTAAAAATTTAAATATTTCGAAAAAGTAAAAATCAGTTTATTGTGTTTATCAATACCTATCGAAATGTAAAAAATTTTCAAATCGGACCATTGTTAAAATATCGTGATCAAAGTTTCTATCCCATCTCCCTTTTTTTTTCTTAAGTAAGGTTTTATGTTGGGGCCGACTATAGGCTCTCTTGTTTTTTGATAAAATTGATCATTGATTTAAAAAAAAATGTCATGTTAATTCACAGAAAATAATAATTTCATCATAGCCGTTTGTAGATATAGATTGGATAAACCCAAATGCAACCCGCAAAACAGCGATGCGTGATTGCAATTGAAATTGGAGTTCATGGTTGGCTGGGAAATTGTGTTAATTAGGTGGTCAGATGAGCAGGGCAGGGAAACTCGTTGATATACTCCGCAAATGTCCCTGGCTTTGTAGTGCCGGCTGACTGGCAGCAAAGAAAGCACCCATAGCAACGCCGGTTCCAACTGGAGTAGCGAGGTATGCAATAAACATAATTAAAACGCCTTAAATTCACGTAACAGAATGCCAAGAAAATTAACTTTTCAGCATTGTTGGCGACAATTTCATGCAAGAACTGCCGCTGCTGCAGATACTCCCCACGGCCCAACAAGCGCAATTAACATATTTTATCAATCTTTTTTCTGGCCCCACTGCCAGCTCCACTTACGCAATTTAAATAACTCAAGTGGCAAACGGCGCAAAAGAGCAAAAGACACTCGAAGCGGCCAGGATTTTTCGAAGCAAAGGGGCTTCAGAGGTCCACGGACGTATGGCGAAGTCACCAGTCCCATAAACACATTAACACTTTGCGTATGGTGGGGGTATTTTCTGGTGGGCGGTGGGTGACTGGGTGACTGGGTGCTTGGTGCCAGGTGAAGTGCTGGCGGGTCAAAGTTGGCCAGGCAACATTAAGCCCGCCAAGTATTTTTATTTTTTCACATACACCGCTGATTCGTGCACTGAGGAAAAATCCAGCACTGTAAATAGAAACAAACTAACTGTGTTTTCAAATTATCGCAATTGCTTTCTGAGTTAAGCAGCTAACAAAAAGTTGTGGTTCTTAATAACTTAAAATTTTTTGGCATAAACAAACTAAATTCTATTAAATTCCCAACAACTTTCCTTGTTTTCCAGTCCTTTGTTGGCAAGACATACCAATTTTTTATATGTTTATCCTAAGCTTTTAAGCTTTTTCAGTTAGAAGAATAGATTTTTGAAATTTCTTGTTTAAATTAAGATATAGCCAAAATCTGAGATCAAACCCAAAATCGTTTATAAAATAAATCCGTATTATTACGTTGTATAAACTCTTATAAAGAAGACAATGAAAACTGAAAATCACATTTTCAACTCGTTTAAAGAAAAAAATGTGTCAGAATATCATGAAATATTCCTTATTAATCCCGTTTATTATTTATTTTGTTAACCTTAACCCAATTATGTTCATGTTACTTTCTCAACCCGATTTTTTTACGTGTGCCTCGTAGGCCTGGGAGTGCTGGGTCGAACGGCAAGGTCGCCTAGCAGCGGCCAACTCACGCACTTGGCGGATAAGCAGGATCCGCAGGATATGGGAGAGGCTGCCACATAAATTACACTTTAATTTTGCAGCATTTTTGGCCACGGCTTATAAATCAGCCGAGTGGCGCTGAACGCGACGACGACGACAGCTGGCTGCTGGCTGCTCCTCCGCCGGATTCTCTCTGGCTCTGGGAGGCAGTTCCTCCGGGTCTGGGTCCTCTAGGCCCTTTGGCTCCCCTTGCCCTCACTCCCCTTCCCCTTCCCCTTCCCTGCTGAGGGCCAGGCCACTCGCAATATTGAAATTTCAATTTAATTACGTAGAACGGGGGCCCGACCTCAGGCCCATGTGCCCGCAAAATGAGCTGTCGTTGTGGGTCAAAAAGAGTCGGCAGCACCACCAACATTACCAACACCACCACCACCACCACCCGGAAAATCCACCCAAAGTGTACAACAAAAACAGCGGGGAGAACCTTGTTAGATCTGCTCACTTGAACTGAACTGCTCGGCGGTTTGGCTTAATTTGTTGAGATAATTGTGCCGAAATTATATTATTATTAAATTCGCATCCGTTAGTCCTCCTTTTTTTCCATGCTTATTATGAAAATTGGATTTCAAGTGCTGTGTGTGTGTGTGTGTGGGTGAGTGGGTGAATTTCGACCTTAGTCGGGGGTTTCCTTCTCGTTACATAATTGGATTTTGTGTGAGATTTGGCCAGAGAAAAAAAGCAAGGAAAAGGAAAGGAAAAGCCCAAATGTTATTAGCTTGGGGTCAGGGCTGAGTTTTGGAATCAGTTCTTGAAATTGTGATGGGCAGGAGGAGAGGTAACTTCCATTAGGTCGTAGCCTGCAGACCCATTGCAATCCTATTTGCTACTCAAGTTCAGCAAAAACCATAGAATAACTCAAAACTTCTTTAGCACTTCAGCTGTCTCTTTTGGCCCCATTTATAAAATTCGCACGCTCGGCGAATCGCGGATTTAATGCTAAAATGGGCGTGGTAGCGGCAACAACAATGCACGCTTTTCTTTAAACTTTGGGGCGGGGCTTTTAATTAATTCGCGAGGCCATCAGAAGTGGAAACAGAAGCCAGAAGCGCAAAGATTCAAAGTCAAGTTGCCAGCAAAATCAGCGGAAAAAAGCAAAAGCCAGAGAGGCGAAAAACAAAAATAAATGCGTATGAATTTACAAAATATGATTATGAATAAAGGCCATTCATGCAAGAGGCTCAGCGGCAGACAGAACCGCAAATGTGGGAAAGTTGCCACATGAAGAGGGTTAAATTATGGGCGAAATGTTGGAGTGGGGCTAACCACATGCCGATCATGGGGCGTGCAAAATCAATTTTAAAGCGTATTTAATAAAAGCGCATTTATGCGATTTTTGCGGCAATTAAGTGAAGCAAATTGCAGCCAACGAGCTGATGTTGCTTGCCATCCATCCGACTCTGCTTCTCTGAAATTGCTGATTTTGCCCGTCCATTTAACCCATTATGCGCTGCTTAAGGTCGAAGAAATCCAATGAATGAGTAACCATTTACTCAGACCAGTGTTTTAATTTGGGTTTCGTCTGTGATAAAAACTTTAAAACAATCTTAAATATTTCTTTGAAGTCCAACTGTATATTGGATATTGATTTTTGAGCTTATTGTTATTTATAAATGAAACCCTATGAAAATATTAAAAAATAATATTGCTAAATGGGTTTTTTATATTTTTTATAAAATTGTGAATAGTTTTGTGAGGCCCTACACTTATATTATTAGAGATACATAACTGATATAATTTAAGCAAGGTTAATTAGTAGGTTTGAGGATCTTTCTTTTGCTCTTTTGGCGTTCAGCGGGTTAAAAACTGTCGCAGTAATTAAGCTGATGTGAAAATCTTTGACTTGGTGCGAACACAACGAGCGGGCAATTAAATGTCGCACCCGCGGGCAACAGGAAGGCCGGTGGCTTAATGTCACTGCACCGCTGATGACATCACTTCAGCGCTGCACCACGGCACCACTGCACCACCGTGTGGATCAATGTCATCGACTGCAGCGACAGATTTATGACAATCCGAGGGACTTTCGCCCATCTGGGTCTCATGCTCACCTGACAGCTGATGGCACGTTGGAGCCCCGAAACTTTGAAATCAACATTTCAATTTGTTGGCGGCTGCCGCCCTGGCAATTTGGTGTGAAAAACTTGTAGCTATTTTTAAGTCATCAGCAGCAACAGAAACACACAGCAGCAGCAGCAGCAACAACTGGAGTTGCCGGCAACTTTTATTGCCCATGTGCTGTGCATGTCTTCGTGCCAATTGCGTCATGCCAGGCGAAATGTGTCAAGTGAGCGGTGACTGATGTGGCGAGTAACAAGGAGTAGTTGCACACTGTGCGAAATAAACTACTAATATGTTGAACAAACTTCCCAAAATTCACACTCTGAAAGCAGTAAACTTTATTTAACATTTTTACAATGTTTACACTAATACTTTTATTTAAATTAACGTAAGAAAATAACTTCTTATTTTTCTTTTTAAACCAGAACATGTCAAACATGAACAGTTAATATTAGCTATAAATTTCTGCAAATCGGTTTCCATACAATTTCACTTAGAGTGATGCCTTTGTTTTGAGATTAAAGTAAAGGGATTAGAATTGGATTAAAATGTGCCACGAAATCAATTAATACAGCCAAGAGAATTAGTACAAGCGAAATAATTCCTTTTAGCTAATACCATTCGTAATTAGTTCCTTTACATAATATATTAACATATAAATACTATAAACAAGAGTTGGTTATTAAGCTTAAAAAAAAAAATGCAATACCCAGAAAGAAAAACGATTACAAAAACTTGATAGCAGCTTAAATATCGTGATACAGATATCGGAAATACAGCCAAGGGAATTAATACACACGAATTAATTCCTTTATACATTAATATTACCTACTATAAACAAGAGTTGGTTATTCAGCTCTCATAAAAAAAGTTCAATATTCAGAAAAAACTGGTAGCAATTTAAATCTCGTCATATTTCGCATTAAAGAATTAATTTCTTTAGTGCACCGGTAGAGGAGCGTATTATCCTCTTTTTTCCCGTCCCCCATTTAAGATGTGTTGCATGCGAGAAGAGTGCATAAAAATGTTCCATTCAAGCACTGAAATTAAAAGTAACGAGAGGAGTGAAAAAAGTACAGGCACTCGAAATGGCGTTGGCTTTATTCCGGCAATTGTCTGAGACAGTTAACCCCACACAGGCGCACGGGAATATATGTATGGCGAGTACATAGCAGACTCTTGAGCCGCTGTCATTGTCAATGTCTCCAGACAAATGCGCCTGAGATGCCTGAAATGGCATAACAAGCGAGTGAGTTTGAGTGCCCAGCCCATCTCATTCCATTCCATACCAAAAAAGGCGGTAAATGGGGGGCAATAATTTTGCTGGAAGTTGGCTGGCTGGGCTGCTATTCTCCCACGCAAATTCACTGCACGCGCAATGCTAATCTGCTTTTAATTAAAGCCAACTCGCAATGGCGAAAAGTCTAAGAGGCTTCCTGCCTTCAGTTAGCTAATTGTCTTTTGTCATTTGTCTTTTTGGCCAAAATATGCCAGCGACAAGCGACAGTTACAGTTACACATATGTGGAAATTAGCTCGGTCCAAATGCCATTTACAATACAAATGTTTTTTTGGCCTTACAGTGACTGTTTTGTTTTCGGTTGCAGAGGTTAAGTCCAATAACTAAATCAGATCTAATTAAAATGAAAAGCATGAAACACGATGACAAAAGGAAAAGCTGGGATTTAGGTGGAGGGAAAAAGTAACTTTTATTTGTGTTCCTTATTACCTTTTTTTGTGGTAGCCCACTGTTTTTATAAATTTAATACATTTATTTATTTCGTAATTTCATTTTACAGTCATTTTTGCATAAAATGGTGTCCTTGGTTAAATTTTATTTTATGTTTTACGTAATCTTATTTATAATGAAGTATTTTTGCCATTTCTTTGTCATTATTCAATAATAAAAAAACTATTTTTTAGTCCTTAATCCTTTGTAATAGACACACTTTTAAATATATATTTTTGCCAACTATTTTTTTTTGTGTTTATCGAAATGGTTTTAATTTAATAATAACTAAATTAAACCTAAATATTAATTATTTCAATTAATTGAACTGTCAAAGGCAGAAATTAGAAAAAACAAATTAGAAAAGCTGTCCACAATTATGCCATTGGTTTTGTTTTTAGATTTTAATCAGAAATAAATTGCAAAAACCCATCTTCCTGTCCTTTGTTTGTTATCACACTGATAAATGGAAAAGCATTAGGCAAAATCAATCAAAACGTAAAAATTTGTATGTAAAAAAGCCAAGACCGCCGAAAGCATATAAAACATGTCAAACACAATTAATTATAAAATTCATAAAACAAAGGCGCAGGCATAAAAAAACAAAGGAGGCCATAAAAGCGTCAGAGAGGGAAAAATGCATGAAAAATGCGACAGACAAAATTATCATTCATAATAATTTGTACAAACAAACAGGGAAAAGCTGAGGGGGAAATGGGGAAAACTGAAATGTTTGCAACTGTAGCCTAGGTAAACAAAAGAACTGGGGGAGGACGATGGGGCAATAGAATGTTTCACGCCGAGGCAACAATTACAAAAAATGATGTTTTATTTAAAATACCAGACAGCAAACAGAAGAGGGGGGTTTTTGTGGAGGGGGCTTAGACAGCAGACAAGGAATAAAAATAACAATGCAACAGCAGTGATAATGTTGCCGGCAACACATGTTTACGGCAGCAGCCAGAACCGCAGATACAACAACAACGGCTGGCAGCAGACTTTAAATCCCTCCACCCCCCTCCAAAAAAATGTCAGACGCCTGTGCACACATTTTAATCAATAAACAAACGTGGAAATATGACAAACAAATTAATAAAATGCAGCAAACGGCGGCCCAGACAATGACAAAATATTATAAATGAATCGGAGAGCTCTTCAGGACAGCATAGGTAAATAAGGGAAGAGCGGGAGAAAATGCCGGGGAAAATGCAGGGAAAAATGCAGTGGAAAAGTCGGGGGGAAAGGTCTATATATAGAGACCCGACAACCATCCTTTTCCCACTCATCTGTCGACTAATTGTGACAATTCGGTCTCACACAAATGGCATAATAAATGTTGAGCAGAGGAAATGATGTGTGAAGTGCAGGCCTTTATCCCCCTTAACCCA